GAGTGACAATCTTTATGTAAAGTTGATTCGAGACATGACAACAAACACGGCGTGACTTCGAAAAGTTCGAGTGTAAAAGGTCTTTGCGTTACAAAATTCCTTAATCTTTTGATCGAAAATAAAAGTTTATATGAACTATGTTCTGATTTCTAGTATAACTTTGAATGTTTTGAATGAAATAGCACCATAACGACTGACAATCTTTATGTAAAGTTGTTTCGAGACACGACAACAAACACGGGGTGACTTCGTAAAGTTCGAGTGTAAAAGGTCTTCTACAAAATTCCTTAATCTTTTGATCGAAAACTCAAGTTGATATGAACTATGTTCTGATTTGTAGTATAACTTTGAATGTTTTAAATGCAATAACTTTGTAACGATTGAAAATAACGCGGTAAAGTTGCCAATTTCAATTCAAAATGGCGTGCCGAACACGGCTAAAAGTCTTCAAATGTCGTGATTTTCTCTTCAAACTGTCCAAAAAGCCTTTTGCCCTTCATTACTTTATGTTATATAACACTTATATATTATTTTTATATGTGTCTCGAAGTGACCATAGACATGTCTCGAACCGTCCATACGATGTGTCTCGAAACAACCTGTCTCGAACTGGCAATGTCTCGAAACAACCGGGCACCGTACTTCCTCGCCGCTAGCCCCCCAAACGAGATCCCGCTCCGCGGTTACTGTTGTTAGTATGAAATAATGATACTTTCACTTTGAATGCTGACCGTTAGAATTTTTTTTGGTTACCAGGGCTCAGGTCTAGGGACAATGGTAGGTTTGATGTCATATGGTAACAAAAAGTTTGAACGTTTGGACCCACTTATGAGAACATTGATACCACCGTTGCGACAAACTATGTTAGAGTTGATTGACATGGTTGACAAGGACACRTCTGCTTTTAATGACTACATGGTGAGTAAATAGTGAACAGATCCACTGACAATCAATTCTCACTTTCAGTTTAGTTTAGTATATGCAATTATCAGAGTCTGTGGATGGGAGAATTTGATAGGATTTGTACGAAGTTTCCTAAACTACATGCACCTGAAGTGGCTCATGCACTTTCCTTGTCATTTAATTGAAGTGAGATAGAGAARTAAAGGAAAGTTACAAGGTCTTACATTCATACATTTAATTGAAGTTACAATGTTGTGAAAAAAATATCCATCTGTTTCTGGCAGTATTATAATGATTGTCATCATGCTCCATWCTGTATTTCTCATCACCATTGTCTYTTTTGTTGACAGAAAGCAAGAAAACTACCTCAAAAGACTTCAGAAGAAAAGGAAATGTGAGATAGCAACTGATTCAAAATGTTCTGATTTCAGCTTGTTGTGAACTTAGGTTGAAAATGGCGACTCTTTGTATGTTGATAATGTTAATTTTTTTCAAGATTTGTTTTGTTTTCCTTTCATAGACGTGAAAAAGCTCTTGAAGATGGCCTCAAGAAAGCTGTTCAAGTACCAATGTCTGTTATTTTAACTTCAAATAAAGCTTGGGAACATCTTATTGAACTCTCYAAAGTCAGCAACATCACYACCAAGTCTGATATTCAGGTGAAAACTAGTATTCTCATTGCAACAACAACACTGGATTTAAAATTGGATTCTTGGATTTTGCTCWGAATATTTTCTTTTGGAAAAAATCRTAACAAATCATGTAACATGTACAAACAAATCTGTGTTGTCATTTAGACTTTTTATTGGGTTTGTTTTTTTTATATATATATTATGCATTTTTAATGCTTGCTTCATGCTATAATTCATTAAATAAAGGCAGCATATAGGAAGGACTCATTAAATAATAACTGTTATTTCAAAGGTTGGTGCTCGTAGCCTTGAGACTGGTGTATGGGGTGCTTTCTATAACGTCAAAATCAACTTACCAGACATCAAAGATGAAGAGTACAAGACAAAGGTAACATGTCTGGAAGTAAATGCCACTCTAGTCATGTCTATTCTATTGCAAGCTTTTTACTTCTAGCCTGTGTACATCCGTTTCTCACGTGAGAAACGGATGTACACAGGCTATTTACTTCTAAAGTAACGGTAGACTCCTTTGCAGGCTCCCCTTTTGTCGGGCTTCCTGTTCTTTTGGGGGGACAAGAAGCCCGACAAATAGGCAGGCTGCAAAGGAGACTGCAAATGGTGAAGGAGATAGAAGTCTATTATCTATGTGATACTGAAAATAAATGAAAATTTCCCTTCACGACTTGTACTGTCATTTTGCTATTCATTTTCTAGTGGAGCTTTTCAGTGCTCATCTAACACAAATTGTTTTTATAGATTCTGAAAGAAGCRGAAGAAGCTGTGTCGTTCGCACAAGAAAAGTGTAAAGCAGTTTTAGACACTCTTGAAAATAGATCGACTTAATGTTTGAATCTTAGGGTAGTCACTAGGCAAGGTTTTAAGTTATTTTTATTTAAAAATTATTATACATGTATACTAATAATTGTTTTGGTGGGAAGTATATTTTATTGAGAGACAAACTTGTAATATAGAAGTATGTATAATATGAATATCAATTTTAATATAAGGAGTTTTAAAAAGTCCTTCTAAAATGTTTGTTATATTTATAGTGCGAATCATTAATACGTCATCCATGATAGAGGAATGATGTTACAACGATTTTWAGTAAGTTTAAGACTGTGAAGGAATGGAATAATTTCATGGTATCTTATTGTAACAATTTATAACTTTATAAAGATAATAGTTCAGAAACGTGGTATCGTCATTTTTCGTACGATTCTTATAGCACATGTAACATGTTGTATTAGTACTTTAAGTKTGCGAATGAAACGATGTCMTTTGCATTCAAAAGTCAGGGCACAAGAMGTGATCGAAATTRCYTTTCTTCCCGCCAACTGGCTCRAAGGGTCCAAAACGATTCCTTGTTCTCTRTATGGAGCACGACGTCTTTGATATAAACAGTAACACATATACCTCCGCGTTAGCAATAATTGGTTTTCTGTAAAAATTATCTTATATTCTGAAATATTTATAAATGTATGAATAATACAGTTCTATATTATTGGCAATATTTTGTGAATTGAAAAATAGCTAGAGAATTTGAAAATACTAAAATATGCAAATGTTATAACGGGATGAAACTAGAATGCATGTTCGAAATAAACACAAAATCGTCCAAATTGTCTTATGAAGTTATTCGTTTTGACAGTGTCTTTGTGCGCTGAGTAATAAAATCCGTGAAAAAGTATTTTTCTCACCCAAAAGTGCGCTTGTATAAGGTCTAAAATTGTGTTGTAAAAAGTTATATCTATTATAGAGAAACTCCTCTTCTTCTTTCTTCATCGGGATACGAGCTGAATTTCCACTGCTGTGCTTTGTTACCATTGCATTTCCTTACTAAAAGTTTGTCTCGCATTGCCTCAAGGCAGACGTCATGSAGTTTATGATAGATTGCACCATTCTGTAAAGTACAAATGTACAAACTCTTTTACAAAATTAATCGCTATTTTAGAGTGTAAACATTGAAAAGGCATGTAATTTGTTTCTTTAAAGTAATAAAAAATTACAGAAATAGCAACAGCATGGGATCTGAATACGCAAAACCGAATGTAACAGGARAAATCGCTTGCGTGGTTGGGGGCTCTGGAGTAACGAGCAGGCTCATTTCTCCCCTCCCTTAGAACCTCTACGCAGGCCACTGGAGGAAGTTTTTTTCGTTTTAATCTTGAAAGTCTTGCATGTAGATGCGGCTTTCCTTTCTAAGGCGAGCAAAAGAGCAAAATGGGAGTATGTAACCTCTACGCCTGACTCTTCTTCGTGATGACGCAGGGTAAAAAGTTTTTCGTTGTGCCGGATTTTTCAGTTTGCTTTTGTATGATTTATTACAAACGTCACCATATTTAATAAACAATATTGTACTTAGAAATCAAAAATAAAATAATAAATGATAATAAATAGGGTAGTGCCAGGCAAGCAATTCCTACCTTTGTATGTGACCATCTTTGATTCCCTTTCATYCCATGACAGGTATAAACTTTTACTCTACTATTAATATTATTACTCTCCAGATCAAGGCACACGTCGTCATGCCAAAACTCTTCGTTCTTTGTGTACATAAAAAACTAACGAAATAAAAA